CTGCCAGCACGCCACTGATTTAAGATCTCTGTTGATCTTATGTCATACCCTGAGTTAGTGATAACACGTGCTGCTCTTTTTTGTAATTTACTTAATTTGTCAATGTGGGTGATATTTCCGTTGTGCCAAACTGTTGAGCAGTAAGTGAAATGTGGTAGGACTAGTGAATTGTACATTGTAATAAGGGCATTTTCTGTTAGAAAACTTTTTGCTCTTCTCAAAAGTGCAATGTTTTTTGAAATTTTTGCACATTGATTATCTATATGGTTATGCCAATTAAGTTGTTCGTCAAGAACCACTCCTAGGAATTTTTTGTTAGAAACTCTCTTTATCATATGATCTCCGATTAATATGTCAGGATCTGAATTTATTTGATTAAGCCTTTGTCTCAAACCAACAATCATATATTCTGTTTTCTCAACACTTAAAGTTAGTTTGTTAGCTAATAGCCAATTATGAACACTGTTCAAGTCTGAGTTAATTTTTTGTTGAATGTCAGTTGCTAATTTTCCGTCACAGGATATATTAGTGTAATCTGCAAACATTGATGCTTTTGTAGATCTTAAGCAATTTGGTAAGTCATTGATGTAAAGTAAGAAAAGCAGTGGTCCTAGATTTGAACCCTGAGGGACTCCGCAAGTAATTGTAGCTCTATCTGATATTTCGTGATTAATTTTGCAAACTTGCTTTCTCCCTCTCAGATATGAAGTAAATCATTGTAATGCTTTTCCTCGTACTCCGTAAAGCTCTAATTTTGAAATGAGTATGTTGTGGTCCACAGTGTCAAATGCTTTTTTGAGATCAAGAAACAGTAGACCATTAATAAGGCCCTGGTCCATATTTACAAGATATTGATTTACAGAATATAAGAGTGCAGTCTCTGTGGAGTGTTGAGTGCGAAATCCACATTGATTTGTGGATACTATCTGGTGAAATTCTAAAAAATTATTATATTATTTAGTTATATTATTTAGCTCGAAGGGACTGACAAGAAAATGTAAACGCTTGTGCAACACTGTGAGTTTCGAAATTTGTCAAAGATCTATATTGCGTCGGGTCAGAAATATAATGCGTCGTGTCGAGTCATGTCATAGCCTTGTATACCGCAAATTAAATGTAAAAGGATTAAGAACACTGGAATTGTGTAAAATCTAGTGAACGCTTTATTTATTTGAAAAATACAATTTTTTGGGAGGCAGTCAAAGAGTAACATTTATCAAATTGGCACATTACCGTAATGTTTACGAACGTGGGTAATTATGAGCTACTGTAACGCATCTCTTACATCTCGTACTAACTAATTCACCAGCTTTCCCTACGTTTTAATTATCCTACGTTTTAATTATCCGAAAACATATAACTGTATTTGTTACTGATTAAACTTGAAATGTTTACATCTTATACGCACCTCGTTACTTCCGTTTACATGCAAATTGTTCTTGCTCTGTTGCGTCCTTTTCTGGTAAACGGTTTGTATGATGGTTTTTATAACCTGGGAAAACATCCTTTGCCTCCACGAATTATTTAGAGACAAAATATATTTCGCGACATATATTTTCTTGCTCTTTAATTTATACTGTACATATTGTCGTCGTTGTTTTATTAATTTGTAGAAGCTGCCTTTCGGTATAATAAAACTAGAAAAGACATTCTTTAATGTGATGTAGCTCTTTTTTCGATTTGTTTGGTACCAGCAGACATATTCGAGTCTAAATTTCTTTAAAAATGTGATCGCCGATTGACCACAAAATATATATAGGGTCATTATGAGGCTAAAGATAATTTGTTAAAGATTATGAGGCTAAAGGTAATGATGGAATAGTCGGTAAGAATGCAATAGTAGGAATTTAAGATAAGATGTTCAGTTAGTTTCACGTAAAAAATGGTTTGGATTAGTTGCTGTCCACAATGTTTTAACCAATTTTTTAAACTTTAGAACATTTCATAAAAATGAAGTCGTGCTGCGACTTTTTGATCACGTTTTTAAGGCCTACTCTGGGACATTAACTCGCCGCGAGATAAGGCGAGCCTATGCGAGTTAAGGCGAGATTGGGCGAGTTAAGGAAAAATCTGGCTACTGACCCTTGTGAGTTAAGGCGAGATAAGGCAAGTTAAGGAAAAATCTTGATATTGTATACACACGTACTATGTCTTTTGCATTGTTTGCGCATTATGCATAGCAAGTATGCAGTACTTGAAGTAGCAGGCCTAGAAAAGTGTTTTATTCTATATTCTTCAATACATACATGATATGCACAATAACTCGGGATCTGGAAACGAGTTGCATCAAAACGAGGCTGGTAGCCAGATGCCAAATTGTATAATTTGAGGCATTATGCATAGTGTGTATAAAACTGCATTGTTTCCAAAATCTTCACAGTATCAGTCGCTAACTTGCTATGACTAGCATCACCACAGATTTTGTAATTTTTAGCTGCTTTCATCAATCATGACATTATCAATGAATTATTAAAGTTAGGTTCCATTTTGTTTGCAAGCAGCAGTTTAAGGTTACAATATATGATGAGACTCTGATTTTGTCCAAAAAATTATTTTTATATAGTTATATTAAGTAATGATATATCTATCAATTCCAGCAACTTTTTAAAGAAAATGTTAAAAAGCGACCGAGATATAGAGGAACATGCTATGACCACTGAATAGCTTCGCGCGAAACTTGTAATTATGATTGACTCGAATTGTCAGTCTGACCTCTTGCGGTTATATATAATTAGTAAGGAACCGGTCTAAGCCAAAACGCAAACGCAGTAAAGAAGTCACCGAAGCCAACATCGCGCATAGCTTGAACTTCGAGAGACTCTGTAAATACTATATTATAAGCTCAGGGACGCCGGAACGATAATAGGGCAAAGGGGGGCGGACGCATACCAAGGGCACCTTTACTGAAATTTTTTTTTTCACTGCAAAATTTTTTGGCGACGGGGGTGGGGAGGTCGTCAGGGGTCGTTAGGGGTAAAAAATTTTAGGGGTCAAAAATTTTAGGGGTCAAAAAACCATTTTAGGGGTCAAAAAATTTTCCGGACATACAAAAATTTTCCGTGAAGCCAAAAATTTTTCCGGATATCTTAAATTTTCGCCATTTCTTCAAAATATTTTTCTAAATTCCAAAAATTTCCCAAAATTTTTATAAATATAAACTATAAATTGCCTGAATCTCGTGATTTTCCTACAAAAAGCATCGTTGGAAATGTGATTTATCACGTATTATTTTACAACTAAAAGGGCACTTCTGCCCCCCTGGCAAAAGGCAAGGGGGGCAGCCGCCCCCCCTGCCCCCCAGTTCCGGCGTCCCTGTATAAGCTTTCTAATCTTTAATCTGATACTCCTAAATCAGCTTACACTATACTAGGAGATACTTATATATGTATATACATTAACAAAATAACTATGAATTTGAACTATATATATATGAAAAACTTTAAAAGGTAAAAATGTACAATAAAAGTGACCTGCCAAAATTATGCTGATGCCCTTAATGCAGTTAATGCAGCACTTTTAAAAGCGTTGATATTTGCAGGCAGTTCGATAAAAGGGAGATTGTTCCAGGTTACAATGGTTCTTGGGAAAAATGAAAATTTAAAATAATGTGTCGCAATGATATATGCCTCCGAACAATAACTTATACTTTAGTGAATTTCACACCTTGATATTTGACGCCAGCAAAGTTCACACTTTGTGGTTTGGCCACAAGTGGATTAACATTGGGGGCGGAGAAAATGATAGAAAGAGTGGAGACCTCGCCAAATCTTATATGGTCATTTGAAGACAAAGCAAAATTACCCAATCTCCTCGACAAAAAAGAGTTTAACGACAGAACGTTTTATCCGATTCGTCCCAAACTTGACCACAATGTTAATCAATAATAAAGGAACAAAAGCGTGTTCGCGTTTTCGATTTAGTGCATTATTTTTCAATTTAGAAGCATCTCTTCAACCGCTTATACCCGCGCAAGATAAGTCAAGTTATCTGCTTTATATCAAAGCGAATACAATAGCTGTCAAAAAATGCGAACACACTTTTCTTCTTTAATTGGACATTTGAGATGAGAAATATGATATTTTGGGAGCTCCTGAGTTAAACGGTCTGTCGTTAAATCTCGTGGCGCAAGAGGTGCTATTTTTCAAAAGATGTCTCATTGCGACTACAGGTTAAAAGTTGGTGAATTTTGGTTAGAACAGTAGCTTCTACAGTTAGTTATCATTGCATGTACCAAATTTGAGAAACGTAACTAAAAAATTGAGCACGCAGTGACAATTTTTCTGAAACAGGAATCTATCATATGATGTAAGTTATTAAAGGCAAACGCAGGTCAGTCGTTCAAAAGTCGACATTGAAAGGTTTATATTTAGTTCTCAAAGCATGTACCCTGGTTGCCAGAGGTTCTGTATCTTTCGCCTTATTCCCGCTCGTATTTATTTTACGCAAGGCGAAGAGAACCTCTGGTGGCACGCGATACAAATCTCTCTTCCATGCTGACGTTGCCGTTTGAAAACTTGCAAAACCGGTTTTATATTTTGTGACGTTTTTAAACTTCCGGGTTTGTCATACTACCAAAATAGCTCTCTTTAGACTGTTTGGCAGCCTTGTGTAAAATATTAAAAATAAGCAGCCGAAACATATAGATTATTCATTAGAAACATGTAGATTATTCTCGCAACGCACAAAGCAACCTTACTGATTGTTAATAAAATTTGTGGAATGCCGTTTGTAGTAGCGAACGTGAAAATCAAAAGTGAAAGAATATAAATATGTAAATATTTATATATGCGTGCAACGGAGCTAGTATGTACGTGACCTTTTAAACAATAACAGACAACGAGAAAATATTGGCAAAATAAATCATATTAAGTTGAACGATACCTTAAACGATAAGCAAGTGAACATGCAACACTTATACTTTTAATACAAATATTAATACTGTAATAGAGTGAACATGTCATGCCGTCAAGGCGTCAACTCAAGTTATGCCGCGATGGCAGCTCTTCTCCAGTGCAGAAAATCTTTTTATAGCGGAACAAACTAAGTTAATCTCAAATAACGCAGACAAAGTAAAGCATTTTTAAATACGTTCGTATTATTTCGGCATTTTGTTTACATCATGTTCTCGGAGATTTATAAACAGGTTTTTTTGTCTAGCCAATCACATCACTTCATCTGACTGCTAATTATAACTAACCAATCATGTGCTTGGTACAAATTTTGTACCAAAGGAAGAGAGATTTGTATCGCGTGCCACCAGAGGTTCTCTTCGCCTTGCGTAAAATAAATACGAGCGGGAATAAGGCGAAAGATACAGAACCTCTGGCAACCAGGGTACAAAGCATGTAACATACAACAAACAACATTCAGTACAGAAGATGGAATATCTGTACTTTGTCCTGTTTCGTTTATATTTTCTATTGTCTTATTCTATATCTGCATTCTGTTTGTCGATTTCTGTATGTCAGCCGACAAGTAACTGATCTCAAAACTAAACTGGATAATACATCTGCATAAATCAAGCCAATGGCGCCGGTCCAATCTCGTACCCAAAGCATGCCCGTTCGCAGGTTAGGGACGAGCATGCTCGGCATAGTAAGAGATTAATAGCGGCCACAATGCTGTGACCACCACAACTTCAATGGTGATACATTGAAACAAATTTGTTCGTTTTTTTCAGAAGTCGCATATTGAAAAGACATTTGCTTAATATCATATACAGTATCTTTAATATTCTATTAACCACTGGCGCAGCGGTCACCATCAGAGCAAGCGTTTTTCCCTTTGAGATCGTGGGCTTGATTCTCGCTGCTGCGAATACTTAGCTGATATCTAAAAAGAGTCGAGTCATGCAGTCGACGTTTCACCGAACGTCGTGGGTTTTTCAGGGTATTTCCGTTTTATCCCAACGGGAATGTTGACAAGGTGCGTTGAAATAAGCCCCAAACTGACCCACTGTTGCTGTGTTCCGTGATCAAACATGAGTCATAAGGTGGCAGCCCCCTTAGCAAACCTTCGAGTCGATTAGGTTGAGCTACATCCTTCGCAGATTGTGGATACATGGAGAAAAAATAAGTTACAATTATAAATATGGAGTTATTTATTACATTCATAACAGTTTACGTCGTAAGCGGCACTGCCCGCCCCTAGCCTCTCATTTTGTCTTTGCATATTATATTTCATTTTACGATGAACACTTCAGTGGCGGAAATTCACTTTTTCTGGTGGTGGGGCAAAGCCACCTGAATTTCATACAAACCCCCCATTTAAACTCACATTTGGCTGTTTTTAACCTTTTGTCGGGTTAAAGTTTTCGATAAATACTGTTTATGGCAAAGGTGGTAGTGAACTTTTCCACGATAGAGATCGAAATTGCTTCAACCCACCAAAATTTCCGCCACTAAACACGTTAGCAGGTCTAATTATATCGTAATGTAGTGCGTTTTTGTTACTTCATACTTGAAACGTCAATATTTTGTGGGTGTATACCTCAAGCATGCCAAATGTGGGATAGCGTCCCATTCCAGAGCCCTTCCTATGCGCGGTGCGACGAGGGGCTCTGGCCAAATCCATAACCGGATACCATAAAAACATGGTAAGAAAACAATAGCCGGTGTTAGAACTAGCCAATCAGATGCCAGTTCGGATATGGATTTGGCCAAAGCCCGTCGTCGCACCGTGCGTAAGAAGGGCTCTGGGTACGAGAATGGATAGCGTCCCAAATAGGTTCACTACAGCATGCAATCACAGCACCTTAATTATACTCAAACATATAAGCTTAATTATATAGTCATGAAAACTTGAACACATGTAAGACCAATGAAAATATGTGTATCGTTTAGCAACATGTCCAACATGAAGTGAATTTCGAAAGCTCATGCAGTGGGATAAAATATCACAACCTCGTTCCCAGACTCTTCCCTTCTAGACTCGGAAATGTGAGTGAAGAGCCTGGGAACGAGGTTGAAAATATCATTCAAAAGAGACTTAAATTCTTATTCAAATACGTTCAGCTTGTTAGTTTTAAGAAATTTGCTTTTCTAAGCGAGGTTTTCGAGTGTTCATTTTCTGAAATTCAGAGTGAGTTTGTATTTAAAAGTCAAACCTGACAAATCACACATATGTGTTCGCTTGTTGTTAATCTGATTTAAATAAACTAAGCACAGTCGAATTGCATTCAGGAGCCAACGTTTCGCACTCTGCGTACGAGTGGCTTCCGTAAAGAGTTTTTTTGTGTTTTGTATAGGCCTGTATGTTATTACAAATCTAGATATTACAAAATATTAGATTTTCGGACCTACATGATGTTATCGTGAGAATAACGTCGATTTATTATTCTTATGCACATTTTTCACATGCAGCAACCTTGATTTTAGAATTAGTTTTTAATACAGCTGTTTCAATTACGGTTGCATGTCCCCCTAGCAAAGCGGAAAAGTCGAATACAAGCGCGAAAGGCTGCTGGGAATCGCTAATAAATTCATTCATTTATTAGCGATTCCCAGCAGCCTTTCGCGCTCGTATTCGACTTTTCCGCTTTGCTAGGGGGACAACCTTAATTGAAATAGCTATATACGCTCTTCAATTATGTTACGGAAGAACAGCTCAATATATACTTGCATGTGCACATGAACATTTGCTTTATTTCAACAAGTATTAAAACGATTTATCATTTATTATTGAAGAGGGTGGCTTAATAAAAATTTACTGAGTGACGACGTGTATACGTGCTTTGTTTTACAAAACGAAAGCACACCAACCTCATATGTATACGTATAGATCAACATTCAATGTCAGTCTCTCTGTCAATTCATATTCTAAAATCTTTCAAAAAAGATTTTCTAAAAATCTATTAGGCCTGGTCAGGGGTTTCAGGAATATTGGTATTTAGACCATTTTTCTTTTGGTATACAATATTTTATTGTTACATAAGTATTGTTATTTTACCCAAAATTAAATGCTCAGCCAGACAAACATGTATAGCATGGAATTTTAGGTATAATGGTATATTGGGCCAGTATTATTGAGTACATTGGTAAACCCTTGGCTATAGGCCTGATCTACAGGTTTTCCACAGAACTTAAAAGAGAAGTATTATAAGGAACTTACTACGACACAATAATTTCAATTACGACATAATATATATATATATATATATATATATATATATATATATATATATATATATATATATATATATTACATTCGCACGCCCTCGAAGGTAAGGCCCTGGGTACAAGGTTGGTCATTCCGTTGTGTGTCAACAATGCACCAATGTACAAAAAAGTGAAGTGATGAATATCAATCGGAATCTGACTAATAATTGTGGTAAACATCGTACTGATCGTAGTAGTCATGATCCCACACGTCATCGTAGTCGTCATCCGACACGTCATCGTAGTCGCCATCCAACACGTCATCGTGGTCATCATCCGACACGTCATCGTAGTCATGATCCCACACGTCATCGTAGTCATCATTGACGTCGAGGTGTCCGAACTGACTTGCGATGCTGTCAATATCATTCTGTTGACCATGCTGGCATATTCCCATCGCACAAAATTCACAAAGACCGGTTTGGTGAGGGGCGGACATATCTGCTTGGACATATGCGTTTCCTGTTGTACTGGTGGGAACGTTCAAACCATAGAACTTTTGCTTTACTTTATTCAGCAGTTTTGTAATCGCACGTTCTATGTATAAGTTGTGCCACATTGCATTTTCGAATACGCCGTTGCATTTCAAACATTTTTGTCCACCCAGAAACAGTTTTACTTTCCCATGTTGTGATTGTTGTCCAGTGTTGGAACCGAATTGGCGATAGTAGATTCTAGCTCCAGCATTAATGGATGTCCATCTGTTGTTGCATGTGGCTGTGCTACATTCAAACGTTGCTTTTCCAGTGTATTGCATTTGTAGCCATCCGCTTTCCTGCACTACATTGCTTACTATTTCCAAATTCCACGGGTCATTCAGCTCAGAAAATAGTTCGTTGAATTTGGTTTCCCATGCATTTTGTTGAGCCATATTGCTTCAGTCTAAAACAGTATAAAAATATTTGTAAAAAATGTAAAAAAATATCGTAGTTTTTACGTGTGTTAAAATGGATTTTGCTCAGTGGCCAAAAACTCTATATAACACTTACATTCAGTATATAATAAATAACTATAACAAACGTTAATCCGTTAAAAATAAAGTTTAATACTGTGCTCAAATTGAAAAGAGACTTTAAAAGACTCTTCGATTCTCTGAGGGGATGAAGACTTTTCGTCAAAATTTAAGGCTGCGGGGGGGGGGGGGGGGGGGGGGAGGTTAAATCTTTCTAAATTTTACATGAAAGTACTACTACTAGTCTATATTTGCCTCAACAAATACCCATCAATTTTTCTATTACTAATTCGCCCAAATTACATTGACAATTATTGAATACAACAATAGAACATATATTTTCAACAGTATATAGGGCTAAGAACCTTGCTTATCTCATTGGTCATATGCAAAGGATTTAATTAAAAACTTGTAAATGGATTTATTAAACCGTGAGATTGTCGGATTGGGAGGAATTCAACTACCTGAAAACTGCAAGTAAAACTTCGACGTTTCGAATTTTTTATTGTTGACTTAAAAGAATTTGTTAAAAATCTAATTAGTCAGTTCCAGCAGAGAGCTTATAAGACAAAAGATTCGCGCGACAAATGTCGTTAGTGGAAAACCGGTTTAACTTCCCCAGTTCCCGTCGACGAGGGCGTTGTTTTTTTGAACGTAACACAGACCGGCCTTGGGCAAAACGAAAAGAATTCCATAGGGAAGTTAGTGATGACAAAGAGCCTTCACTCGAAAAGACGAAGTTTTACTTGTATTTTTCAGGTAGTTGATTCCTTCTCAACCACAGAGAGACCGTTCGAGTTTATTAAACCGTGTGTATACAATAACACACGCACTAAGTGATCATGAAATACAACCCTTTGCCCTTAATATAGGTCTAGTTCGGACGGTCGGACGAAGCACCTTCAAAACGTCGAAAATAGTTCCAAGTTGAGGAATGTATGTCAACATATAAACGTCAACTAATTTCGAATTCTTTGTTCCCGGCATTGTCATGCAGCACGGCGACCGAGACTTCTAACATTTTTACACACAATTAAAAAAAGAAATTTTCCAACTTACATAAAATTTCTTCGATTTCAGATCGACTCTGCCAACTAGCTTCACCAAGTAATTTGAACTGCGTAATGAATTAAATATTTCCAATGTTTTCTATAAAATGAAACTAGACTTGTACTTTTTGCATGCAGCCGCAAAAAATGAAAACAATTACAAAGCAGTTTGGGACCTGTTTTGCCCGTTGCTATAATAATGAATGTATCACATCAACTCGGTGGCGAGGACACGAGGCGTCTGCCCCCCTCCCCACTTTTCTTCGAGACCAATTTTGCAGTTTCTGATGAGAAACAAGTCCCGAGAGCTTTTATCAAAACACTTAAAGTCAGGGTGCCAAAAATTGAAGTATCTATATCTCCTTATTCTGTGTCTATATTGTATATTAAATATTCATAATTGGT